GCACATCTGTAATTGCCTCTTATATAATAGGAAAATAAGCACCAGAAGACAAACAAAAGAAAGGCACAAAAGTACCTATTGTGCAGGCAAGCAGTGATAGCCTGTAAAATCAGTTTTATCAGGCCACTAAGGGCAGCATAACATATCATCTCATTTCAGCAATCAGAAATTGCAATAACAGGAGAATGACAGTTGTTCAGAGCAGGTGATTGGAGAGAGGGGTATCAAGCAGGAGGAGCTACTTTAGAGGACAACTTCTGCTCCAACCACTCAAGCACTAAATAGGTTTTTGTTAAGTCTGAAAAGAACTGAAAGCCCAATAAAGAAACAAGAAAACCAGAAGCCTGACAATATCCTATCAATGAATCCATTGATATCAAGAGACTTTTCCCAAAATTGTGACATGGAATAGGCATATTTCAAGACTAGGGGTGAGGAAGAGAGAGAGAGAGAGAGAGAGAGAGAAAGACAGAGAGAGGGGGGGAGGGAGGGAGGGAGAATGAATTATGCAAGAATAATTTCCCCTTTAGGATCAGGTCTACAGCTCAGTAGTTCGAGACCTGAGTGCTGTGAGACAGAGTGAGCTCCTGTCACTTATCACGAACCTAGCAGTCAAAAGTATACAAAAGAGTAGATGAATAAGTGCTGCATATAAGCATGTGAGAAGATAACAGCATTCCATCTTTAGCTTTGTACAGCAGCATAATGTCATGCTGGACAATTGATTGCAGAAACGTCTCTGGATAACATTGGCTCTTTGGTTTAAGAAACAGAATAGCACCGCCCCCTAAAGTTGGTCACAACTAGTGAGGTAAAACCCATGGGGACACCCTTACCTTTACCTTTTTAATAACCCCTTTGGAGGAAGAAATTTATTTATTTATTTATTTTTATTTTTATTTATTTATTTTTATTTATTTATTTTCGTCAAGCATATATTAGATAATAGATATAAGTATAAACATGATTATGAATACATGAAATGGATACAAATAAAAGGGAACATTAGGACAGGGATGGTAGGCATGCTGGTGCACTTATGCATGCCCCTTAAAGACCTCTTAGGAATGGGGTGAGGTTGACAGTAGACAGTCTAAGGTTAAAGTTTTGGGGGTTTGGAGAAGAAACCACAAAGTCAGGTAGTGCATTCCAGGCATTGACAACTCTGTTACTGAAATCATATTTTCTGCAATCAAGCCTGGAGCGGTTTACCATAAGTTTGTATCTATTGTGTGCTTGTGTATTGTTTTGGTTGAAGCTGAAGTATTCATTGACAGTTAAGACATTGTAGCAGATAATTTTATGTACTACACTTAGGTCGGACCGAAGACTGCAAAGTTCTAAATTGTCTAAACCCAAAATTTCAAGTCTGGTGGTATAAGGTATTCTGTTGTGAGCAGAGGAGTGAAGGACTTTTCTCATGAAATGGATGCAGGATTGTTTTCTTTTGGTGGATCTAAAAGTTTGAGGGACCTTTGAAAAATATATTGATGTGCTTCTGTAGTTTTTTGAGCAGCTGGTTCCATTATAAAGCAACATGTTTTAACATGGCCATTTAGAGAGAATAAAAGTTGAGAAAAGTTTTTATATAAAGATATTCTGTGTAAGATTCCTACATTTCCAAAAGCTAGAGTTCATGAAGATTGGACTTCTTAAGATTATTTATGGAAACCTCCAGGCTAATTAAAGAAAAAAATCCTCAGTTTATGCCAACCTCTCAGAAAATAGAAACTTGACTGAAGTAGATATACATTTGAGAAGAGCCAGGACTGGTATCTCCAGTATTTAAATAAAATCCCTTGATACTTTCTCCATCCACAAGAGAGAGGGTGACCGGTCAAGTGCACCTCTGTCAACAGCTACTGGCTGGAAAACAGGTGGAAAGGTAGGCAGACATTTCTAAAGACAGCAAAGGGACAACGTACAACCTTTGTCATCATGACTTCCGTTTGATAGTTTTGATAGCTTCATGTTGTACAAATCATGGACATTATTTATCACATTATTACTAAAACATCTTCAACATCTCTCAGTTTGTTTCTGGTCCCAATTCAAAGATACAGATTTTAACTGTAGAGAACCTGTGGGAGGTACTTACTAAAGTGTAGCCCTATGACTGGGAAGACCAAATTTCCATTATGACATTTGGCCAGTTGCTCTTTCTTAACTCACTCCTCCTAATAGGTTATTGTAAGGACAAATAAAGAAGATTCATACATAAACTGCCTTGAAGAAAACATGGGATATCAAACAAACCAACAGAACATAAGATATGATATATTGGAAAGACGCCTGTTTTTACGCATTCCTATTCACATGATTAAATCTGAGACTTTGCTTAAGATACCATCCTTGCTGAGGTATAGTAAGTGGGCAGTTTTGGAACAGGACTTTTATGAAAAGTCCCTCAAGTGAGGTCACATGATTGCTACTTTTTAACACTTTTTGCTGCAATAGAACTTTATATGTTATGTTCTTTCTACTATTTTATAGTTTATTTATTTATTTATTTTTGTGATTTATATGCCGCCATTCTCCCGAAGGACTCAGGGCGGCTTACACAACAATCAATAATACAAATCACAATATAACAAAATAAGTTAAAAACCCCTTAAAAACCATATTTAAATTTATTACAGTTTGTGCAACCCCTAGCAGATCAATTTATTTGATGGAAGAGCCACATCTTCAGTTCGCGGCGAAAGGAGAGGAGGTCTGGGGCTATCATGAGCTCGGTGGGCAAATCATTCCAGAGGGTTGGCGTTCCGACAGAGAATTCTCTCCCCCTGGGGGCCGTCAGTCGACATTGTTTGACTGAGGGCACCCTGAGGAGGCCTGCTCTGTGGGAGCTCACAGGACGGTGGGAGGAAGGCAGAAGATGGTCCTGCAAGTACCCAGGCCTAAGCCATGTAGGGCTTTATAGGTAAGTACCAGCACCTTGAAACAGACCTGGAGAGCAACCGGCAGCCAGTGCAGCTTGCGCAGGAGAGGTGTTGCACAGGAGTAACGAGGAACTCCCGTAACTACCTGCGCGGCCACATTCTGGACCAGCTGGAGCCTCCGAATGCACCCCAAGGGCAGCCCCATGTAGAGGGCGTTGCAGTAATCCAACCAAGAAGTAACAAGGGCGTGGGTGACTGTGGCGAGGGCATCTCGGTCTAGGAAAGGGCGCAACTGACGCACAAGATGCACTTGTGCGAAGGCCCCCCTGGTTACGGCTGTCAGATGGTCATCCATGGACAGCCGAGAATCCAGGAGGACACCCAGATTGCGAACCCTAGTGGACACGTTACATTTCTAATGGTGCTTTTAGTTTCAGTTTGCATAATTTCAGTTTAAATTTTAGATTTGTTTTTAAAGTTTTGTAAGCTGCTCTGGGAAAATTTGTTCTGAAAGGTGGATTATGAACTTTTCAAATATTTAAATCTATACATTAGCATTTTATAATTATGGTGGGGTTGGTTGACATGGAATTTAAAAAAGTGATTCTAAGAAACAAACTCTGAAACCTCCCAACTCTCTGAATCCTCACAGATATTACATTTCACATAAAATCTGAGGTAGGGATCCTTACTTTGGAATCATGCTTCATCCAAAATAAGTGTTCATGACTTTCTTACATAATTACCAATTGTGCATTTAATTTATGCAGTAACTAAGGATAGAGAAAATACATGTAGCAAAGGAAATTCAATTAAATATTATTAGTAATAATTTCAGAAGATACAATGAATTTCTTGCAAGGAAATTGGATATTGGCTCTGGTAAGTGTCAAAACTTTTGAGACGTGAGTTTTAATATATTGATGCTAGGTTAAAAAGTTCAAATTACATTATTCACATATATTTTAATATGTACCAAATTCATATATGAATAATTGCAGATACCGACCCTGGATATCTTTAAATTCATTGTAATAATATATGTTAAGATACATACGCACACATACACACATATGTATGTGTATACGTATGTAAGATCATATAACAATCGAAGTCAATGTTTCCCAAGTGTAGTAGCAATTTTCTGACATGTGCCCTTTAGTAACCAGAATTTGCCTGTCGGAATGGCCATTGTTAAGAATACTGAGAGTTGAAGGCCATACATCTAAAAATTGCCAGGACTGGGAAACATTAATCTAGGTGCAGAAACCACAAAACATTACTTAGTAACTTATCTATCTTTCAAAATACACAAAATGATTATTTATATTTAATGGACTTAAAATTATTGACAAAAGGTTTCATTTACCATATAATCTTGCCGTAAAGCTGCAATTCTTATTACTCTTTTGAATATATATACTTAAAACAGTAATATTTAAGGCTTATTTTAATCTTTCATCTTTCATTGGTTTTTGGAAACAGCTTCTTGTTTATTTATTTATTTCTTAAATTTATACATATTTATAATTCTACAAGTAGCAGAACTATTGTATTCCAGGGAACATTTTTTCCACTAAAAATATGGAAAACATTTTTGATAATATGAACTTATCTCCTTCCCAGTGCTCCATATTAAAAGAATCAATCAAATAGGAATAAAAGCTTCATTTTTAAATCATAAGAATTTAGGTATATCCAAAGGCAAGCGTTTGAGCAAGGAATGTAATAAGAAAGACTAAAATATTTGTCTTACAAGGAGGAAAGTCTTTTACAAGTAAAATACTGTTTCAACTTTTAATTAACTTTCAGTTGAATCAGTAGGCCAGTATTAGAAAGGATTGGAAGGAATCCTTAATAGCCAATATAGGCACAGATAACAATGTTTTGATAAAAATGCTGCAGAATAGATTGCACCAAAATTTGGAAGAAAAATATTAGAAAATGCTTCCAACTCAACCAGAAAAGCATAAGGATACCATTGCTATTTTAAATGAGGGAATTTAGTGGGAGGTTTGAACAACAAGATTTTAATTATGATTAATACTATTCTTACATAGTAATTTAAAAGATGAGACTGGATTTAGAAGATGGTAAATAAATGATACATTTTCATACCTTCATCTCTTCTTCCATTTCAGAAAGCTTCCGTTCAAGGACTCGTTTTTCCTGTTCAGGAAATATTTTCATAGTGATCATCTTTCATGAGATTTGAGAAAGTACAAGAAATCTCATAGGCTTAAGGGCTTTCAAACACAATCTAGTCCTACTCCAAGACAAAAACATTTGTGCCATATAATACTTCCCCTTTCTCAAGTCTTATTCCCATTATCCTTTCTTGTTTCTTTCAACCCCAACTTTGAACAGACACAGTAGCTGTGTTCTTTCAATTTTTGATTCTATTTGTTTCTTCACATAAATGCACACTCAGACCAAATCAAATTTCCACATCTCACTGATAGTTTTTTTGTACTTAGATAACAAAAATGACACCACAAAGGGCCAAATTCTTGCCCCAAACTACTAGATATTTTTTTAAAATAATGGGAGCTATGCACTGGACATACCATTCCATAGCAAACAATACCAATACCAGTGACAGACTCAAGAACCAACATCCATCTTTTTTTTCCAGAGAATAGCAGCAAAAAAGAAAGGCACCAAGAATTAATTTATGGCCCCTAGAGTTTTCATGTCATTTTGATAAGATTGTATATTAGGCACACTAAAATTCTTGTTTACTGACAGGCCTTGGAAGAAACAGAATTTTATTACGGATTAGGCTTGATAATGATTATGTAACATATATTAAGCATATGTTTTACCTGTAGATCTAAACAATAGTCCTTGACTTACGACCACAATTAGGACAAATAATTCTGGTCATAAGTCAAGTCACTAGGGTGTAAATCCAGTTTAACCAACAAAACTTGGCAAAAAAAGGTCAGAAATTGTGATCATGTGTCCACAGGACACTGCAAATGTTTGTAAATGTGAGCACATTGCCAAACAGTCAAATTGTGATCACGTGACTGGGGATGGAGTGGTGGTTGTAAGTTTCAGTTCAGGTGATAATTGAAATTTTCAGAGCTGTTGTTAAATAGTTGTTAAACAAGGACTACCTGTATCTGAAAAGGTTTTTTCAAACCATTATCCTCAAAAGTAACCCTTTCAAGTAATTGGAATATCAGATATTAATGCTGTATGTCAACATATTTTTAACAATTTTGAAACAACAAATTATTCTTACTTCAGGTTTTCAAAATCAAAATGAAATCAATAAATACTCTAATATATAGCATTAGCTGTACAACTATACAATGAGAGCTATGTCTAACTCATATATAGTATTAGTTTTGTCATACTGCAAAATCCAGGCATATAATGAACTCTTCAAAAAATAAAGTGCTTTAAAGTTAATAAAAATATCAGTAAGCTAGCCTGAGAGCTTATTGTCTAAGCATAAGTATCAGTTATCATTTTTGGAGGACAGGCCCTATTCTCCACCACCCCCAAACCGATTAGGAAAGCAATTTCCAGCCTTCGTACCACGTATTCCATTACAAGTAGCATACTGCATCTTTTGTTGCTAGAAGCAGTATTGTCAAATTCAGATGTTGAAGTTCACTTCATTGTAAACAATCACCTCCACTCCAATTAGCTACTGTGTCCTGTGGCAGGTTCTACACAATGGGCTATCTGCCCCCCTCCCCAGAAAGTAGGAACTTGAGATTTTTTTCCCCTTAATTTTATTCTACCTGCTCTCCTCCTTAGTTCTACTCTATTCATCTGCCTGCTCCTAGTATGTCTAAATCCTTAGCAATTATGAATAAGGGTAGAAAACAAGCCAAAGAAAACAATGAATCAGGTTGCTGGACTGGTGATACTCTGGGCCTTTTCTTTAACAATTTAACTGTTGTATCAGTGAAAAGCTGAAACTTTTTTTTTTTTACAAGTTCACCAATTAGCCAAAGAAATGATACATTTTCCCCTCCCCCACCTTTTCTGGACAAGGTGAAATTTATTAGGGCTCTATCAGTTTCCCCTTCTAGTCAAGTGACAAGAGTGGAAAAATGGTCTCCCTTTTCCTTCTCCACCATATATGGTTACACCAAATAGGAAGGGAGAATAGAAGGGTGAGTTGGTAGAAGATGTTCCCACAAAATCGCAGAGAACACCGTGCTGTCAACATAGAACAAAAGACTGAAAACTGGAAAACAATTTCTTCAGCTGCTTTAATTTCCAAACAGTTTACAGAGAGCAGCCAAATAGCTTAAGATGCAATGCAGAAATATTTTGAGAATTCAATAAGTAACTTCAGGAGCCAGATATTATCCAAAAAATAATTGGATGCTTTAGGAATCTTTTGCTAGGAAAAGAATAATCTTTGCTGTTTGGTTTTCAAAATATTTATACAATCCAAATAGATTCTGAAAACCTGTAAAGACGTACCCTTTTTTCCATCTCAAGCATACTTGAACGATCTGAAGTTTTCTCCTGTTTCTGCTATTTAAAACAAACAAACAAAATACTCTGTTACAAAGTAATAATTTTTGCAGTATTGTTTAAAACAACAATCAAGTATTTATTAGAAATCCAGAGCATACGTAGATTATTGCACTCAGTGTTTTTTCATTAATTCTCTTATCAACAATAATAAACTTTTTAAAAAATTTCCTCTGTGAAGTTTCCAAAAGATGCCCTAATTAATTCATGAGCCACAAGCCAAACTTCAAAAGAAATACAGTCATTTATTAGGAGCACCATTTCGGCAATATTTGGATGCAGTTAGAACTAATCCTACATAGATTTACATTCGCCTATGACCCTGTCTCTCTCCCCTCCTCCCTGGCCATATCATAAATCACATTCTCCAATTAACCACTTTGGCTGGCTGTGAAACCCAAAACTCTCCTATTGATTGCGGTAGAAAAGCATCTGTGGAATGTAATTTCAATTAGGGAAATCAATCAGCTCCACCAGTTCTCCCTCCCTCCTGCTCATGGCAACTTGAAAGCTTTGCAAGTTGACATTACTCCTTGTTTTTTTCAGTACATCCCTGATTTCCCAGTTTCTTCACCTGAGTTAGTTTGTCCATTTTTGACTTAATATCTGCGAGTTCTGCCTGGGCATCTTGCAGTTTAGATTTCAGTTTCTGATTTTCAGACAGGGCACTCTCATAGAGCTAAACAGAAAAAGCAAAACAAAAGTGGAATTATACCTCGGTATTGGATAATATTCCATCTACTGAACAATTGATGGTGACATATTGGAGAATGATAGTTTGCAAGACTTGCTATTTCAGATCCTTTAGAAGAACAAGTTTTATTACAGCTCAATTAATTTTCAGCCAACATCTTCAGGTAACTGCATAATTTCACAAGACCCCTGCATCACTCCAGGCACATCCTTTTAGTTCATGTGGAATAAAAGCATGGTCTAAACGTACTTCTCGCAGCACACTTTAAATGTTACCAGATAAAATTCAGTTCAAAGTGATTATTCGCATATTATTTCATATACCATTTTGGTTATTGATCCTCCAAGTAAACTAAATATATGCTCAAATGCAACTTGGAAAGTCCAATAAAAAAATTAGACATTATATTCAAATTTTACACCAACATTTTCTTATTCCATACAAAGGGAACCCAATCAAAGTCAACAACTCCATGGAAAAGGCAAACATAGGAGTGCAAATACAGTTATTTATAATACAGTCCAGACCAGGGGTCGGCAACCTGTGGCTCTGGAGCCACATGTGGCTCTTTCACCCCTCTGCTGTGGCTCCCTGTTAGTCCCTGTTACCCACCGGCACATGATTTATTGAGCTTCTCAACCCCTGGTAGGCCAACCATGGATAAATCCAAGAAAAGTAAAGTTTTAGAAGAAAACAGAACATTTAATTCATCTACATATGCTAGTTTTGTGGCTGCTCAAGAAATAGTCAGGCATGGGAAGGGTTTTGTGGCTCCCGGTGTTTTCTTTTCTTTGGGAAACTGGTCCAAATGGCTCTTTGAGTGTTTAAGGTTGTAGACCCCTGATCCAGAAAACTTCATTAAACTTGTTTGAAGCTGGACTTTAACATCATTTTCTTGATATATTTCTTTTATTGGGGCTTTAAATCTTTATTACTCTATTGGCTTCTTCTCCAATGGTTTCCAGCTACATTCGAAACTGCTTTGTATTAACTGATAAAAAGAAAACAGTGGGAATTAAAGAAGGGCTCAATCTTAACTAGTGATACAAAAAGGGTAGTGTGGGAGCTGGATATGGCCTGCAAACATCCTTTTTGCAATTCCCAAAGACTCCAAGTGGGTAAGCTAAATATTTTGTATTTTGCATTGGGAAAGATTAAGAGGAAAATAAGGTCTTAATGTCCTGATTCCCTATTTAAATCTCTTTATCACCTGCCTCCCATGGTACCTGATCCCCTTGGCATGTGGCTATTGAGATAATGAGAGAAGCCTAGTGCAGGCTTCAAACGAAAAGAAAGAAAAAGAAAAGAAAAAAAATTCAGCAATGGCCCACCTTTTTATAATCCTTGCTACTATCATCTTCTGTTCTGCTGCTGAGAGCGGCTCTTCTGGTATAGGCACTGGTGCGGCCTGAGGGTCGATCACTATAGGTATCACTAATGCCAGTGCTTGAACTTGCTGAATCCAGCCTGAAGTTAGATATGGTTTAAAACAGCTTCATTTACTTTCAAAACCATTTACAACTTCAGGAAAAAAAAAACAGTTCTTATAGAAGAGATACCCAATACAATGACAAAAGAATAACAAACTACTAAAAGTATTTACCTGTAACCTAGCAAGTGTAGAAGTGAAAGAAAGAAACGTTCATTCAAAAACTGACAGAAGAACATAATATTTGAAAAACAAAGGAATTCAGATAAGAGGTGACCATACTGATCAGATAAAAGATGGTAGTCTTGAAAACAAATACAGGTAGTCCTCAACTTATGACCACAACTGAGCTCAAAATTTCTGTTAAGTGAGACATCTGTTAATTGAGTTTTGCCTCATTTTGCAACCCTTCTTGCCACAGTTGTTAAGTAATCACCGCAGTTGATAAGCCACAGTCGTTAAGGGAATCTGGCTTCCCCCTTGATTTTGCTTGTCAAAAGGTCGCAAAAACTGATCACATGACTTTAGGACACAGCATGGTCATAAGTATGAGTCACTTGCCAAGAATCTGAATTTTGATTGCATGATCATGGGGATGTTACAAAGGTTGTGTGAAAAAGGTCATAGGTCACTTTTTTCAATGCCATTGTAACTTTGAATGGTCACTAAATGAACTGTTGAGAGAGAGAGAGAGAGAGAGAGAGAGAGAGAGAGAGAGAGAGAGAGAGTGAGTGTGTGAGAGAGAGAGAGAGAGAGAGAGAGTGAGTGTGAGAGAGAGAGAGATGCATGCTCTAACAAAAGCATGAATTCTGGAAATCTTACCTGGAGAGTCTTTCATGCTGTAAATAGAGATAAAAGAAGCTCAGATTAGCAATAACAAAAATAAATAGTTTTAGCATTAAAGCTGGAAAGCTGAAAATATGACGATTATGAAAGTAAGTGACAAATAACATAAATCCAGCAGGGCAATATCTCTGGAACTTATCTAGAAACTTTTTGAACTATTTAAAAATATTGCAAAATACTGCAGTCTAGAAATTAAATATATATATATATTAAATATACCAATAATAGCAGATATTTCTGGCAACATTAAGATAACCTTGGTTAGACCAAAGTATCAACATGAACTTGAAAGAAAGGTGTTTATATGAAATATTTATATTAAATAAATACAGAAGTGAAGTATGAACTGAAGATCTTTTAAAAAGTTAAAATCTCATTCTTATATGACTAACTAGCATAGACAGTCTTATATTTAGGCATTTGTCATTTGTTACAGAAGAATGAAACACATATTCACATTCAGATAAACACACTATTCTTTCTGGAGATCTAATGTTTAATGCCAAAGATTTTTCCTTAAAGAAATTCTGTCAAAAGTGTATATTTGTCAAACTAAGTGGTTTGTTTTCACATTAATTACATAAATGATTACAGAAAAATCTGTGAGCATTTATCTACAGGAAAGAACTTTATGCACATGCAGAGATATTTAACTATATAAATAACTGAAAAACAGCCTTTTATCTTTACTGATTAATTCTGAGATTCTGTTTGTATATTTATTAGTTTTTTAATGTTGTACTTTTTAAACTTTAAAAAATCAGAATTAACTTTCATTTCATTTTTTCAGTATCAATCTTAAATAAATCACATGCTCTCTATTTTATATGGAAAATGTACTACAATTAATATTAACCTAAGTAATGTTTATCACATTCTGATGTGCAGCTGCTGTTATTTGGTCTCAACTCTGAAATAGAATTTTTAAAATTTCTTTACATACTACAAAATTAACATTAAAGAAAAATCAGCTCCAAATTTTTCTTTATAAACTGAGTAACTTAGAAAGCAAATTAAACTAGATAATCTAGGCTTTAGGATTCAAGACGACATCAGCTTTCTAAATGTCATACCCACAACTGAAATTTATGAAGTAAATTATTTAGAAGTAAAACCTCATTTTATGTCAGTTTTAAAAGTCATGTTTATTTTAACAAGCAAATTATTTTCTGGCCATCAGCATTTCATTATCCAACATTTGGATATTTTTCTGTTAATGGCTCTAACAAGTTTTGCTGCTTAGAATAACTTAATACAGTTCACCATTATTTTGTATGTATCTTAGGCCAAAGTTTCTTTTGCCAAAAATGGAGAAACACAGAGGTACCCTGTTTCTCACAAAATAAGACATCCCCTGATAATAAGCCCAATCAGGCTTTTGAGTGCATGGCAATAAGGCCAAATGCTTATTTCAGGGTTCAAAAAAATATAAGACAGGGTCTTATTTTCAGGAAAACATGGTATATGAAAACTCATATCCATGCTTAACAAAATAAAATTATTTTTAATGAAAATTTTCCATAATATGTTAAATATGGAGACAATCCACTTAAAGTATTACAATGTAAGTACTTATATTCTACAAAATAAAATAATAGCATATAGCCATCCTTGTTTGGGCTTGCAAGTTAAGCAGGACTGAGACTGGTTAGGACTTGGTTGGGAGACCACAATAGAATTCCTTTCTAGCTGTAAACTACACTGGGAAGTAAAAAAATATTCTGGAAGAATGCAGCAGGAAATTATTTCTGTTATGCATAAAATTGTATGGATAGGACCATGTAGCCGCCAACCAAGCACCACTAGGGAGATTTTACTTAGAATACTTTCAAGCAGAAAATTTGTCAAGAGGAAGCACAATTCCAATCAAAGTACAGAGGCTAGTTTTCTCTAATTACATTGCTATGAAGGAAGTACTTCTCTGTGTAAATATATAGCATTCATCTATTTAACAGGGGTACACCACAAGGACTGCATTTATTCGAAAGGAAGACAACCCTGCATTTCCAACAGCTTTCCTGTTTATTCTATTGTCAGTATATCTCCTATTTTAAAGACAAACTAAGGGAAAATTTAATCTTTCTAGCAAACAAAGTTGGTATATTGTTCTCAGGCATATCATGTATTCAAATGTAAATGTAAAAAAAAAGTATGAGTGTATGTGTGTTATAATCTATAACTTCCATGATTGAGGAATAGTAGATATGGCATCTTTCCCCTGTAGTATCTTACTGAAAACGTATGTCCAGTTTTACATTTTAATTAATACTTTTTGAGCATTACATGACAATACAATTTAGATGTGGTACAAAGAGAACTCAGTACCAGGGAATGGTACAGTTACAGCAAACAGAATGAAATAATTTCTTAAAGAAAGGGATATAATGCTGACCACACTTTTCAGGAATTACGTTCCCTGAAGCAGAAAGAATTGTAACTCCACTTTTGCCAAGTTAGTCAAGTGAATAAAAAACTAAGTAAATCACAGGAAATTATTTGACCTTTCCTATAGTCCCCATTGGAAAGCTCCAACCTCTTCTGTACTTGTAATCCTTACCAGTACTTGGTTTGTTTGCATCCCACATAAACCACAATTGCGTAACAAAGTTTTTTAAATCTAAAGCTGAGACAAGAGTCAGTTTCTGTGTTGTAGACACCTTTTTCAAAAAAAGCCGACTTAATGCAGGGATGCATTTTAAGGGATGCATTTTAATCAAAACTGCAAGCAGCTTGTATGATATATCCGGCAAAACTGCTTAAAGGTTTTCTCAAAGAAAAAAAAAAAGGCAAATATTAATTTGGTATGTCAATTAGAATGTTATGTAAAAAAAATAGACCTTTCCTTATTTGTTTTTGTGCCTTCAAATCAGTGTAATTTCTGACAAATGTGTGGACAAGTTTTCTTGACAAAATTTCACAAGTGTTTACCATTGTTTCCTTCCTAGGTCTGAGAGGTAATTCCTGGCCCAAGGTTACCCAGCTGGCTTCGTGCCTAAGTGGAACTAGAAGTCACACTCTCCCAGTTTTTAGCCTGAGACCTTTAATCACTAGGATAGATAACAACATAAGGCTGCCATAATTATAGAAGTCTACCATTGATGATGGTCCACAAACTGTAATCGGTACAGAATGTGACTGCTCTCTCTGTATTTAGGCTATTAATAGAGTTGAAATGGAACCTTGCAAATCAGAGCATAGCATAAGAGAAACAATATGTGTTTCTTTGTACATTAGTGTCTTCCATATCCCACTGTAAGAGTAGATACAGGAAACAAAGAGAGAGAATGTGTCAAACACTTAGCTAATAACTTGAGTTTATACTTTGTTTCCTGGATAGAAAGCTGCCGCAAAACCAAAAGAGAAGCAACAGTTTAAAAGCAGTAACTCAGCCAATCTACAGAATACTAAGAAGAGCCCGAGAGAATTTTCCCAAACTCTTTTTGGCTGACCTAACTGTGAGCCTGTGGCAGTAGTGAAATAAAGAAAAATGAACAAATGAAACTGCATTGCTATGTATTTTTTAGTTTCATTGGGCTTCCTTTATTTCTGTTTTTAATAAAAAGGAACAGGGCTAGGTACTGGAAATTATTCTGCAATGTTGACAACAAAGGGATTGTAAAGAGCCAGGAAAAACATACCGTTTTGATTGTAGATATGTGTAGGATTATGGAACACTACAAACTTACTTTTAAAATTCAAAAGCATTCACAGATGGCATAAGTGTAATTAAAAGCATGTTCTTGAAATGTTTACAAGAATGCAATTTTGAAATGAGGAACTAGGGCATAAATAACCATTTACCCCCCCCAAAGAAAAAACTTCATTCAATTGGCTTCAATCATTTACTTCTGTTACCAGTACTTAATCCAAAAAAGGAACAGGGAAAGGAGAAGACTCTAATATTTATGTTTTTGCAAACCAAAAAGATTCCAGTACAATTTCCAACAGCTGGGTTCAAAGATTACAAAAATACTTTATACTCTGTAGCAGAATTTCTATTGCATCATAGTGTTCTAAATATTGTGCCCAACTATTGTGCTCCAATGCAGGAGATAGGCATACTCACATCTGATGCAGTTGAAATTGCCTAGAATTTGCCAGCCAGCTTAGTGAGAGTTGAAATCCATATGTCTTAAAGTTATCATATCTGAGGAACACCATTTTCAAGTTGACCTGCTTTTTCTCAAGTTCTTGTTATATTTTTCTGTGTACCCTAAATGCATTTTAAGTAATATAATATAAATATACAGTAAAGTAATTTAGTGTGTTACTTTAGAAAGCCTTGAAAAACTCTAAAGCAAAAAGGAAGATGGTTAAACACATTCTTGTTTTACCGTTAATATGCAATTTCTATTGCTTTTGGGAAATTATTTTCTAATTCAACACTGCCTTTCAGTTAAACATTAAAAAACATGAAATATGTCATAGCTTTTCTACAATATTCTGTCTTTAGTAACAAAAAGTAAACCTTAGCAGGAAAATATGAACTGGAAAAAGTCAAGGAAGGAACAATTAAGTACATGATTGTTAACATAATTATGCACAATTTTTCCTTCTTTTGAGGTTTCCAACTCATATTTTCTTGCTAAGGTTCACCTTTTACTACTAACGATTATGCTAGTGATAGTATATGATTTATTATATAATTTCAACTTCTATTGGCACTTCATTAAATTTTAATTCCAAATAAGTCAAGCCTAACATTTAATAAACAACTAGGTAATCAGATTCAAATCTGATGAATAAGATTATCTAAATTTATATTACAATGTTATAACTGTGCTTATTTTTCCCACTTTGTTCTCCTGGGGGTCATGAATTCAATAAGCATACATGCTATGAAAATTGGGCCTTCTCCCTTAAATGCTATTTAGTGTTAACATCCGAGAAATGCAAAATAGACAACACCCAAATTGCTGCCCACACCTGGAAATTGTTCCCTGAGGATAGGATAAGCATGTAAAAATATACAGCAAAAGAAATCTCGATTAAT